GGATGAGGATAGCCAGAGGTGAAGCTGCCCAGCTCCCTTATGTCACTGGGCTGAGCTGGGGATCTCAGCCTGCCCTGTGCTATTGTGTAACGTGGGGTGCTGTGAGGATAAAGCAGCAGCGTTAACTCCTCCGGCTCCTTCCTGCCTGTGGCAGCCCAGCGAGGCTTAATGCTGCTGCTCCGTCATTTTGTGTCTGTGATGTGCTGTTGGCTCTTTCTGGAGTGGAGGGGGGTTTCCTCTTAGCTTCTGATTTAAGACAAAGGGGAAAATGCCACAGAATGCCTACAAATAGCTGTAGAAGTTGGAAGAAGCGTTCCTTGCTTTAATCTTGGTTTCAGAAGCATTGTTGTGCGAGCACCTATGTTTCTAGGATAACTTTTAACTGTCAGTGGTTACAAATACTCCTGTTGATCCCAAATGATTTAAAAATGAGAATTTAGTCTCCATCCTCTCTTCTAGAGCAACACTGGATTTAGAGATAACAAGATATTAAAAATTACTACTCCTGTTAACATTTGGGGATTGGAGCCTCTGGGACTCAGGTTATTTATTACTGTGGCAGTAATCACAGTAATCACAGGTGTTAGTTTAAACTCAGTGATCATGGCTTCAAGAGGTGGAACCATTAAAAAAAACCTATTCTGAAAAATAAATGTAAAAAAATTAATAATTTCTAGAAGTATTTCTAATAGTTCCAGGTGCTGTTTGTGGCTGATCTCAGGTATATCCTAGACTCATCCCCGGAACTCCAGGCAGCTAAGCCGAGAGTACAGGGTGTTAGTGCAGCCAGAAGAACTGTAATGCTGTTGTCCTGGAAAATGAAATGCTATTGCCAGACAAAACTTCCGAAGTTGGGTTTGTGCCTCTTCCCTGTGCAAAATCTGTCTCCTCTTTGGGAATTACAGCCAGGCAGCTGAGCTTGCACTGCATCATTTCCTCAGTGAGAGCAGTGATTTATGCTGCTGCCATTACTCAGGGAGCTATTGTTATGAAACATGGAGTTCAATTAATTAAGAAATGATCTCTACAGACTGAGATAATTGCCAGGAGGGCTGCTGGGCAGAGGCTCCCACCCACACTCTTCTGTCCAGGCTGGCTTTAGAAAACCAATCTGTGTTGGAATGTGGAGGTTGTAAATAAGGATAAGGAAGACTGAAGAAAGTGAGGAGGAAGAGGCAGGAGCCCAAAAGGTTAAGATAAGTGCTGTGAAACGTTCCAAGCACGCAGGTGACACGAGGTCAGCACAGGAGGCAGATAAGGTGGTCAGAGGAGCTCAGAGGCAAAGGATCTCCCTAAAACAGCACCGAGTTCTGCAAGGACTCTGGCAGCTCAGGAGGGCCATGAGACATCAGATGGCAGCAACTGCCAAGCCAGTCTTATGGGGAACTGATTAATATAAAATAAGGCCACCCATGTGTTCTCGAAGAGCTCTGAGGAAGGTGGTGAAAAGTAGGGAGAGTTTCACAGATGCCTGCTGCGGAAAGGCCGTGCTGGCTGTGCGGGGAGAGATGGATGTGGGGTCAGGAGGTGCTGCCTTTCTTCTGGAGGGGGCACTGAAACTTATGAGGGAGGTTTTCCTTGAAAAAAGGCCTTAATCTATAGCACTGTATTCTTTCACTGTCAAGCAAGCAGCAAGGAAAAAATCCAAGCAGGCCATATTTTTAGATGAGGGAAAAGCTGAGCAGAGTGTACTCATGGACATGTGTGGTATTAAATACCAAAGGCACCGTGGAAGCAAGCAAGTATAAATAACAATTCATAATTAAACACGAACTTTGCAGAAAAGAAATTATTTCAGAGGCAGCTGCCAGCCTCAGGTGGGAGGTAGAGGAGTTTTAAATAGACTGTGTGTGCTGTGTTTCCTGTCTCCCACTTGAGAGCTTCAGAAACAACAGGATAACAAAAGTAACAACTGCAGGCCCCTCCTTGCCAGGGATACTTTTTAGTTATGGAATTGTGAGGCCCTTTGCAGCATCCCAAAATAAAATGCAGCCCTGGGGTTTAAGAGCATCCCATCAGACTGAGTGCTGCCACAGGGAGCTGGAGAGCTGTCCCAGGGCAGCTGGAGCTTTCAGAGGAGGTCCACTCCAAGGAGAAGGTGTGAGGACAGCCAAGAGGAAAGGTAGGCCCTCAACACCTTTGCACAAGAGCGGCTGTCTCCGTGTTACAGTGGAAGAAGCATCTTTATGGGGATTAAGAGCCTCCTGGTTGCTAGACTGAGCTGCCTTACTTAGAAACACCACAGGAAATGTTCAGGGATAAGCAGCTGGGTAAGGCAGAAGGCTGCAAGGGGAGGACAGCTGCTGGGCTCCTGTTTGGGGAAGTGGCCTCAGATTTCTCCCTGCCCTGCCAGCCGTGCTCTCACGGGGACATCCCTGTATGGGGACTCTGAGGTGGGTGTGCTTCCCAGGTGGAAGGATCCTCATCTCTTGTGTTCCCCACTGATTCATGGTGTTATTTCTAGAGTGGCTGATTAGTTTTCAGTGTCTTACTGAGCCTGCCACGCACCACAGAGCTCTGCAATTACAGTTGTGTAAGAGGCTGGGGAAACAAAAACTCTGTTGCATTTCCTTGTTCCCCAAGACAGCACCTTTGGAGCCCATGGAGACGCTAATTAAGGTGTCTGTGGGAGGTAAAGCCCAAAGTTATGCACCCCGGCAAGCAGGGGTTGCTCTTGTGAGGAGGATCACCCAGGCTGCTCATCCTCCCTCCCTCTGCTCGGGGCTGCCCATGGAGGGTCAGGCTCTGCAGGCCTGGATGGGAGCACTTGGAAGGGACTTGGGCTCAGAAAGCAGAGTTTAGAGTCTTTGGTGTCTCTTGCTTTCTTAGCATCCTTCAAAAGCTCTTTTTTTCTTAAAAAAAAAAAAGTGCTGAAAGATCACTAGGCTGTGGTGCCCACAGAGCTGTAGGTGTTAGAGGCACAGAGTACGTGCCCTTATCTCTGATACCTGGCTCTGACATCCAAGAAAACACTGAATTTCATATAACACCATAAAAACAACTGTTGAATAGAAAACCTAAAAGTGAAAGTGTGTATTAGTGTGTAAATTAGAGAGTTTCCTTAAGTCACTGGGTGGAAAAGTTCGTTTAGAGTTTGAACTAGTTTAGAGAACAGAGGGCAAGAGGGAGGATTTAGGGTGTTGTCTCTTGTCCTTCTTTCTTCTTCATCTTCTTCTTCTAGAAGTTTTTGGATACTAGTAAGTGATTAGATAGAGAATGCCACAGTGCAGCACACAGATGATAACTCATTGAGTCGCTAAGAAAAATAATTTACGTGTGTATTGTTAATTGAGTGAAAATAAGTATAAGAGATAAAAAAGCTGCGTATTTCGAGGCCATTTTGTGCCTTTTGAGCCAATTTGAGCCAAGCAATAATAAATTTAACTTAAGGAGACCAAAATCATCAGCGACAGTAGGCACTTACTACTCCTTTGTATCAGTTCCTCAGGTTGTTGGTGACTCTTTTCTTGGCACAGGGGCAGTTTCCCAGCCCTACATCTCATCCCTGGATCCCTCAGGGACAGCTGGCCGGACAGAAGGCATGAGCAGCTTTCCTCACTGCAGGAGCACAGCTGTGCTGTGGCCTGGCAAAGCCAAACTCTGCTCTTCAGGAAACAAGCAGCGAAGCACAGGCTTCTGTTCTCCAAAGGCTGAAGCTGTGAATAGATTTTGCACACAAAATTGTACAGATAAATTGTTTATATGCAATCTTTTAAATCCTCATCTGTCGCCGGCCTTCTTTCCTTTCTGTGTCTTGCAGTGAAATCTCTGGAAATTGGTAATTTCTCATGGTAGGCTTGGTGAGCAAAGAGAATTGGAGCATTTAAGGATATTGGCACTTGCAGGGCTGCAGTAAAGGAGATTGTGCTCCTGGTGTACAGTGAGGCTGGAACAGGAGCAGGGGAGGGGAAACTTCCAAGTTTGATCGGAGACCTGGCATCATCTGAGGAGAGGAGCGGCAGAGACGAAGCAGGACGGGATTTGGCACGTGGAAAGGAAAGGCAGCCAAGGCAGGATTTGGGGTAAAAACTGGATGAAGATAAGCAGGGTGAGCCAAAAAAAGGCCGTTCTGGACCAGTCGCTTTCCCTAATGTAGGTGAAAGTGCTGCTGCGCTTCCCTGCTGTATCTCATCCGCAATGTGAGGCTTAACATTCCTGCCTGGCACGTGGGGGCGCGGGGAGGGAGCGTGGGGGAGAAGGCAGCCGGACACAAAGACGGCCGGTCTCTCACCGGAATGGCATCCAAGCCATCTCAGCTATCCAAAGCCCCAGATGCCGGCATGTGGGCTCAGCACACAAGAGGCAATTCCAGCTTATTCCGGGCCGGGGCTGCTGCGGGCAGGGAGAGGCGCAGGGGGCCTTTCAGCCCCGCTTTTTTATTCAGCGTGGGGGGTTTCCTTGAGCGAGCCGAGATTTCACATCTCTTCTGCGCTCCAGGGCTAGAAATGGGAGCGAGTGGGAATAGTGGAGCGTTCCAGGGGGAAGGAAGGAGCTGAAGCGATGCCTACACGGTGTTTGTGTGACTTGCAGTGGGGTAAATACGTGTTTGCTGACTTTGTAGAATTATCGGTAGAAGGGGGTAGGTTTCTCTTTCTCACTGTGTGGAACTTTCTCTTGGCTTTTCTCGTGTGTGTTCAGAGCATTCCCTGAGCTCTCACAGGGTGGTTACATGTGGAAAAAGCGAATCCCCCAGTGAAAGCCCTGAACTCCACACTTGGGGATTTAGTGTCCCCAAATGCAGCTGCAGGATAATGAGTTTTGTGCCGTGGGACTGGGCAGCTCCTCCAAAACAGTCGTGAGGGACACTCGCAGAGCCATGCCCTGCCCAGATTACAGAAAAACAAGGATACACACGGCTTTCTGTGACATGTGCTTCACTCATTCTAAAAACTAGCCCTCGGGGTCTGTGCATTGCTCTCTTTCCTAAAATGCTGATGAAACCCTAAAAGGGCTGAGGTTTTGCGTGGTGGTGTTTACATGTCCTTGCTCTCCTTTGGCAGGGACACCCATGCAGCACAGGGATGCACAGAGCTGTCTCCCAGCCCGCTCAGCCCGGACTGCGTGACCACTGACTTCCAGCCCAGCAAAGCCTCGTGGGCAGCAGGAGTCAAGTTACGGCTGAAGACCAGGTGAGAATGTGTTTGTCTGTGTCCCTGGGACATCTGCAAAGACAGGGTGGAAAACAGTCCCTGCTTTGGCTGCCTGAGGGGCACTCATGGGGAAGGAGTGCTGAAATTTCTCCTCAGAGGCTTTTGTCTGTGCTGGTAAAGGTCATCAGAAATGCTGAACCAAAATATCTCCGCAGAATTAGTGTAAGTCTTCTCTGACTTCCCAGCTTCAGGTGCCTGGCATTCCAAAATCACCTGGCTTCTTCAGAATCTCAGAGTTATAGTGGAAGTTTGGCATTCTTGACTTCAGAGTACCTGTCTGCATTTTTGAACGATTAAATGTCCTGAGAAATCAGTTTCCTGAACTGCTCTGGATTGGCTGGTATTGTGGCTGAGCCTCGCTCCCCTCCTTTGGCCACACAGTTTAGGACCAAATCCTGCTGCATTTACTTAGGCAGAGCTTTTGCTGGCATCCAAAGTGCCGCTTAGATCAGTCAGATGTAATCTGAGTGACCTCATAGACTTTTTGTGTCCTGATGTTTGTACCATGAAGTTAAAGCAGTGGCTTTTATTTGCAACATTGAATTTGGGTCAGACCTGGACTTAGCTGAAGCCAAGAAACCACGCTGGTTTCCTGGAGCTGGTGGAAATGCAGCCTGGTGCCTGTGATCGAGCAGCTGAGAAGGGAATTCCTCATTCTGATCTTATCAGCAAGGATGCACCTCTGGAGCAACCTCCCTGACCTTAGTGGAGATGCTCTAGCTTCTGGCCACTGTAGGCAGTCACGGATGCTGGCCCTGCCCAGCCTCGGATAGAGCAGATTTTAGAGGCTCAAAGATTTTACATCCTCAAAGTGATTTTATTGAGGAGAAGTTGATCTCTGATTGGAGGGTGGGACTCTGCATTTCCCTGGGTATGTGACCCACAGGGAATTTGGGAGAGGAGCTCCCCTGCATCCACCACCTCCCTGTAACAATGAGTCATTCACCATATGCCCTCTGTAAATCCTTCTTGCCCATCAGTTTAGTAGCAGATCTTCACAGAAGCTCCCAAGTTTAGCATTTCACTTGGATAAATTTTCCTTTGGGTGCAGAGCCAATGTTTTGCTTTACTTTTCCAGCAGTGTTGGAGGCTGTGTCTGCACATCTCAGTTTGAGCCTGGCTGGAGCTTTAGTTAGGAACAGGAGGCTGCTTCAACGTATAAGAAAGTGCCTGTGGGAGGTGTTTCAGGCTCAGCAACCTTTGCTTTGGGCCAGGCAGCGAGTGCAGTTCCCCAGCGCATTTGACTCATCCTGTTACCCCCCAAATGTGTGCAAGCACCTCCACACATCCTCCTGAAGGCCCTGCTGCCTCTCTCCCGTTCATCCCTCCTCCACGAGCACTTGGGTGTGCAGCTCACCAGCGCTGCCTGTGATTTGTAGCCCTGTAGCTCAGAGGAGAGCCCAGCCAGCCTTGCCCTGCAGATCCCCTTGGTTACCTGCCGTGCCTCATTGTCCGCGTTCCGTTTGGATAATCGGGCTCACGGGGCAGCCTTCCTGCTGCCAGCCACCCAGTTCCTCCTAAGCACCCAACCAGGCCAGGAAAGCACATTCCTTCCATTGTTTCCAAGTCTCTCCTGTTGCAAGTTGCTGTGTGTCGGATATGGGGCTGTGTAAGAATCTGAGCTATGCTTGGGTTTCTGTCTTTTTAACTACTTTACTGACTGGAGAAGAATGAGAAAAAATTACTTGAGTTGAGCCCGTGGGGCCGGTTCATCGGTCTGGATAAATCAGTGCAGCTCTGAAGAGCCATGGGCAGGGAAGGCACTGCAGGCTCTGGCTGCTAGGATTTTCCACACTTGCTCTGGGAGAGATGATGTGAATCCCTGGAGAAGACAGGGAATAATGGGGTCCTTCTCAAGGACTGTAAGTCAGTCAGCTGCTTCTTTTCCATGTCTGTTCTTTCTTCCTCTTTTTCCAGCAAAGGAAACAGAGTAAAATTATAGAAAGAAGAAGAAAGTTGCAGGGAGTCTTTAACCCAGTGCTCCCCTGCTCCTCACTGTAACCTATGCATGGTCTAGGTACCAGGCTGAAGGCTTTCCTGGCTTCTCTATGTCCTGTAGGAGCAGCATGGATGGACTATCTTGGTGGCAAGAACCTCTTGAAATAGAGGTCTGAAATACTCCTCATTTTGCAGTTTAAATCAAACTCAGTGTGTTGCTTGATAATGCTGTCTTCAAAATAGAAAGCTGTCAGAAGATCCCGGTAGGACCAAGTCCTTGAACCCAGTAATCAAGGAGAGTGAAGTTTGTATACATCACCTCTGCTCCTGTTGAAGCCTGTGCCTGGCTAATGTCAGGGAATGCCAGTGGGACCCTTTCTTTGGGTAGGGAAAAGTCCTCAGTCTAAATATTGCCTGTCAACCCTGCTCTGGGGTGAAGGGACGATGGAGCCGCAGCGCATGGCCCTGCTCCGAGCCCCCCACTCTTTGTTTCCTTTGCTGGACACTGGGTAAATTCCTCCTTCTTGGATAAGACAACGTGGGGGTTCCCAGAGACATGTGATAACACAGAGGTGTGACTTGCAGGACCAATAATCATTAATTACAATGTTTGACTGTTCCTAAGTTCAGCAAAGGAGCGCCCTTTGCTCACAGCTGCCATCACCTCTGAGCGATCCCAGCACTTCCATCTGCAGCCTGTGGCTGAGGGCACTTCTGTCAGGAAAAGCCAGTAGAAAAAATCTGTCTCTAGATCCAGGTACATGGCTCTCATCTCTGCTTCCACACAGGGATTTTCTTCCCAGTGGTATGGTGAGGAGTTTTTTCCAAAGAGTTGGTGATGGTAATGGTAGGAATTCTGAGCAGAACTTCTGATTCCCTTCATCCTGATCCCAGAGAGAGACTTCAGGGAGATCGATACCTGTCTCCCAGTACCCAGATGGAACTCAGGGCATGGTCTGATGCAACCCAGACATCCCCAGTGATGCTTTTCAAAGGGGAAAAAGAAATGGTGTCTGACATGTCAGCTGGAAACACCACAGAGACACAGCACCTGCCTCTGGGAAAGGAGCTGGAGAGAGCAGTGAGGATGGGCCAGTCTGGGACAGAGCCCTGAACCAGCCTGAATGGTTTTCTTACAGTTTGGGGTTTTTTAAAATTTTTTAATTTTTTTTTTTTTTTTTTTTTAGTTTAACCCTGAGACTGCCAAAACCTGAGATAGTCCACAGGGATTCACTGTGTGGGGAATTGTCCTCTAGGAGCTGCAAACTGAACGTATTGTGGAAAAGCAGACTGTGTCCTGGAATGAGAATATTGAGAATATTGACACATTTCACCCAAGTGTTCTCAAGTGAAGGGTTTTTCAATGTGTTTTTTACTTAGGGGAGGTTTTCATCTGAGCATTAAAGGGTGGGGGGCATGGGCATGATTCTCCCTTTTCCCTACAGATGAGGAGGCACTATTAGCCAAGATCCATGATGTGAAATATCATCTTATAGGTCTGGCCTTTCTAATGAGTCTTCCCTTTTCTTAATCAAAATTGTGAAGGGGCAGAGCTCACAGCAGATCCTTCCTGCCCCCAGAATTTATCAGAAGGGCTCTGTGAGCCTAAAAAGAGAGATTTAGTGGAAGACACACCAAGCTGACGCCATTCTGGTCCAACTCCTTTCTAATTGACCTCGTCTGTTCTGCTTATTTTTAGAACCATGACTGAACCTTAATTAAGAGCGACGTTGCTTTGAGTAGATTGTGGCCTCGCTCTGTCAAAATCCTAATAGGCTTCTGAGTGCTTTACTTTTTCCTTCCTCTCCTGCCTAATAGATGGGCAGAGAGGCTGCAGCTGCACATTGGGATGTCTGGAAAACATCTCCCTATAGTGCTCCCGTTCTTTCAGATGTGTCCATCCTGGAGACAGGTCTGTCCTGGTGATGATTCACATCTTTGTTCTGCTTTCTGTTGGTGCACGTGCACACTCCCCCTGGAAGGAGGGTGCAGGTGAATTGCTGGGATCAGGATCTCTCCATGTGCAAAGATCTTGCTGCTGCATGCACAGGATATGGCTCAGGACACAGTGCCCCTGCCACGTGGGTTTTGTGAGGTTGGAATTATCACCAGCTTGAAATCTTGACTGCTGTGAGGATGACTCGGTAAGGATGGGCAGCTGCCCTCTTGGCTTTCTCTCTTGTGACTCAGTGCCTGGGATCAGATCCAGGAGGCAAAAGCTTTGTGCTCTTATCCAAATCTTGCATTTCTCCTGCAGGATGAGGGTCTGTGCTGCAGGGCCCCCATCCCTTCCCACCTCCCCACACGATGGGTTAGGCCATGGCTATTCCCTTCCAGCTCCAGCAGCCTCCCACACGGCCACTGGGGAAAGCGCATCCGCAGGGATTGTGGTTGGGAGTGATGGCAGAGTGACCCTCTGGCCTTGGTTCTCTTCTCTGCCCTGTCCCATCCTTCTTGGACACATGAACGCAGCCACCGGTCAGTGCCATGCCCTCAGGTCACAGAGATGTGTCTGCTGCTCCTGCCTGGATCTGCAGGTGGATTCTGCTTTGCTTGAAAGGTTTTGCTGCCTTTATCTTCAGCACTCCTTGTCTCTGCTGAGGAAGGGTTTGGGGCTTGTGGGGACAGAGAAAAATGACCACAGGGTCACTGGTACAAAAAGCATTGTTCACAGTCGTTCAGGCACGTGGATGATGTTTCTGATGGATGTGAGAATGATCAAAACAACTCCCCATGAGTTGTGTGGGAGTAGAAAAAGATCCGTTTATTGGGGCACTGATGACCCTGAGTGGCTGGTTAATCAGCCACAACATCCTTCTCTGGCTTTCACTTATTGGCTTTCTAAGGATGTGGAAAAAATGCAGATGGCAATTTGAAGAAGCTGGATTGTTTGCTCTGGCTAAAGATGGGCCTTTGCAAGCTGAAGGACTTGCACTCCTGAAGGATGCTGGGCTTGGGATGCTGTCAAACTTGGAGAGCAATCAGGTTGTATAATGTATGTATAATAATGTATAATCTGTGTACTCCAGAACTGGCAAGGAACAGTACGTGAAGAACAGGAATCAGACTGACTACCCTTCTCTGGATGTTTTTAGTTTGTAACCTTGAGAAGAAGATAACCTTTCAGTGATACTAAAAAGAAAGCCTGAGATGCTCATTCATCTGCCGAGTTAGTGCCATTGTCTTTGAAAAGTTCCATTCCTGTTTTGTATGCAATATAGTCTCCAGAGATTACAGGAAAGAGTTCACTCAGCTTTTCCTAATGAGAGATAGCTGCAGGGTGGTTCCTGGTGAACCTTTCCCTTGGGTTTTCCAGTCTCCAGTGTGAACTGGCAGTACCTGGGCTGTAGTCAGCTGCCATTCAGATGCCAGCGTTGCATCGCGTCCCGACGACTCCTCCGGGTACCTTCGCTCCCGGGCATTTGTCATGATGCCAACCTGACCTGCATGCCCAGGTTATCTGATCACTGTCCGTGAGGAACCAGGAGTCTCTTTCTCCAGCCTTGGCATTTACAGCACAGGGATCACTCAGTCTATTATTTGAAGTGGAGAATTTCGCAGGAATAAGGTTTTCCAGACACCTTCACAAATACAGTACAGTACAGAATATATAAAAGGTAGGGTGATGAGCTTGGTCTGTTATTGTTGTTCTTCTTACAGCTGTGCAGCTTGAAATCCTACAGCCTCCTGTGCCAAAGTGTCACCTGTTGCTCCTGGTTTTGTTGCAGGCAACTTAGCTGCACCAAAGTAACCCCAGTGAAAGATCTCATGATTTATTTGTCTTCACTCAAGTGAGGCATTAGCTGCTGCATTTGCAGGTTTTATCAGTCAGCCAGTTTGCCTGGGATCAATCAGGATCTGCCACATTTCCAAGACTGGGTAGGTGTGGATACAGTGCAAGGTTATCTCACACAGAGCCAGTAAGCTGGTGCCGTGTGTCTTGTGACTAAAATTCACATCTGTCCACGTGTTGTATGGTTACAAGGATATCACACAAAAAGGCTTAAAGTACCTGTGTGTCAGATGATTGGCTACACAGCTTCCTCACTGTTTCTGCCAATCAAACCAAGGGATCATTCAATTTCTCAAGTGAAAAACTGATGCTGATGGCTTGTACTCCACAAAAAGTACTTTAAGTCTTTAAATGTCTGCAGTGGAAGAGGCAAGAATGTGGGTTATTCTTAATAAACAGTTTTGTCAACTTCCCATCTGGCAGTGTCCAGGTTCCTCGTTTTCTGGGCAAGGAGCTTAACAGAAGAGCTCTGTCTTAAACACACCTACACATGTAAAG